CCTCCGCCTCCTGGGTTCAGGCAATTCTCCTGCCTCAGCCTCCTGAGTAGCTGGGATTACAGGCACGCGCCACCATGCCCAGCTGATTTTTTGTATTTTTAGTAGAGACAGGGTTTCACCATGTTGACCAGGATGGTCTCGATCTCTTGACCTCGTGATCCACCCGCCTCGGCCTCCCAAAGTGCTGCGATTACAGGCGTGAGCCACCGCGCCTGGTCATGAAGTTGAGTTTCTAAAGTAAATTTGCTGCTGGGCATGGCGGCTCACACCTGTAATCCCAGCGCTTTGGGAAATTGAGGCAGGTGGATCATCTGAGGCCAGGAGTTCAAGACCAGCCTGGCCAACATGGTGAAACCCTGTCTCTACTAAAAATACAAAAATTAGCTGGGTGTGGTGGCAGGTGCCTATAATCCCAGCCACTCGGGAGGCTGAGGCCCGAGAATCACTTGAACCCGGGAAGCAGGGGTTATAGTGAGCCGAGATCACACCACTGAACTCCAGCCTAGGGGACAGAGCGAGACTCTGTTTCAAAAAAAAATTTTTTTTTAAATAAAGTAAATTTGCAAAGTGCCCTGGGTACGGCATGTGAAGGACTCAGTCCAGAAGTTCCGTGAATTCTTGGCTCTTGGCAGGGGCAAAAGTCTGGTCTTAGGCTGATTTGATGGATGGCCCAGGGCCTAGCACAGAAGTGCTCAAAAGTCTAAATCCAGGGAATGAATAATGAGCAAGTGAGTGAATAAAAGAGGGCAGGTAAGCAGGATGATGGTGGGCCCTGGGTTTATACCAGCCACATCCCTGCAGACCCCAGGCCAGGGGTGAGCCGTGTCCCAAGCCCGAATTCCTGCCCAGATTCCTGCATGCCTTCTCTTTTTTTCTTTTCTTTTTGAGATGGAGTTTCACTCTTGTTGCCCAGACTCTGGAGTGTCACAGTGAAATCTCAGCTCACCACAACCTCTGCCTCCCGGTTCAAGCCATTCTCCTGCCTCAGCCTCCTGAGTAGCTGGGATGACAGGCATGAGCCACCACGCCTGGCTAATTTTTGTATTTTTAGTAAAGATAGGGTTTCTCCATGTTGGCCAGGCTGGTCTCGAACTCCCGACCTCAGGTGATCCCCCTGCCTCAGCCTCCCAATGTGCTGGGATTACAGGTGTGAGCCACCACACCTGGCCCCTGGGTGCTTTCTAATCAAGCACACCTCTTCTGTAATCAGGGACCTGAGTGACCACACACTCAGCCCCCAGAACCTCAAGTTAAAGGAGAGGGACTGAGAACAGGGAAGGGGCAGGTCCCCAGTGCGGCCTGAGGCAGGGAAATGGGCACAGGGAGACATGGCTCTCCAGCTGATCCCTCCACCGCTCCAGCAAGCTGGGAAGGAACCCAGGGCAGCGCCTGGGCCTGGGGTCGGTGAGGTTTCCCGGAACATCCACGCCCCTTCCCCACCACCCAAAGCCCTGCCCACAAGGCTGAGCCTCTGGCCGCACCAAGCCAGCCACCGGCCTGTAGTAGGCGGCCATGGTGAAGACGATCATGTACAGGCAGTAGATGAAGAAGTTGAAGTAGAAGATGCGCTTGACGAATCTGTCCCACTTGTCCTGCAGGAGTCGGTTCAGCGGCTCCACCAAGAGCATGTCATGGCGATTCTAGAGGGAGCAGAGAGAAGTGAGGTTCCCTCCTGCAGCAGGAGCGGCCTGGCACGCCCACGCCAGCCTGTGGTGCTCCCCACAGCCACGTCGCTCGCGCAGTCCAGGCAGGACAGACCTCGGCCCACGGGGCAGCGGAGGCTCACCGGAGGTCTGAGCCAGCAGCAGCCAGAGCCCGGGGCTGCAGCTCACGGAGGGACCCGGCCTCTTGGCCTCAGTGTCCCCAAAGGCACAGGGAATGGGGTGAAAGTGACAAGCTCTAAGTGCTCCCTGAATGGCCCACAGCACTGCCCAGCAGCCTGCGCCCACGTGTCTAGTAACTCACTCCAGAGAGCCCTCTGTAGTGGGAAGTAGTTGGCTCAGGCAGAGCCTGGCATGGGGGCTGAGGGCAGGCAGGAAAGAGCCTTTGGGTCCTCACTTCTCACATTTCCAGCCTGGGTCAGGCAGGGTGGCAGGGAACTAGGAGGCCCTCCTGCAGGGGGAGGGCACAATGCCAGACGCCATCATTACAAATATGCTTCGGGGCAAATGTCTCATACCCAGAGATTTTGATAAAGTTCAAACTGGCCTGGCACAGTGGCCCACACCTGTAATCCCAGCACTTTGGGAGGCCGAAGCCAGGGGTATCACCTGAGATCCATAGTTCGAGACCAGCCGGGTCAACATGGAGAAACCCCATCTCTACAAAAATATAAAAATTAGCCAGGCATGGTGGTGGGTGCCTGTAATCCCAGCTACTCAGGAGACTGAGGTGGGAGAATTGCTTGAACCCAGGAGGCAGAGGTTGCAATGAGCCAAGATCACGCCATTGCACTCCAGTGTGGGCGACAGAGTGAGACTCCATCTCAAAAAACAAGATAAAATAATAATAATAAAATAAGTTCGGCCGGGCGCAGTGGCTCATATCTGTCATCCCAGCACTTTGGGAGGTCAAGGTGGACAGATCACCTGAGGTCAGGAGTTCGAGACCAGCCTGACCAACATGGTGAAACCCCATCTCTACTAAAAAAACAAAATTAGCCTGGCATGGTGACGGGCATCTGTAATCCCAGCTACTTGGGAGGCTGAGGCAGGAGAATCACTTGAACCCAGGAGGCGGAGGTTGCAGTGAGCCAAGACGGCGTCAATACACTCCAGCCTGGGTGACGAGAGCAAAGCCTTGTCTCAAAAAAAAAAAAAAAAAAAAAAAAAACACGCCCACTGAGTTTCCCTAAGCAGAACAAGAAAAAAAAAAAAGACATATATTCTGTATAGCCTGATCCCATTTATGTGAACAAAATGAAACTACACATTCTGACGTAGTATCAGATGTGGGTCCATTTTGTGTGGTACCTCCGCAGCATTTCCATTTTGACGGGATGAGCATCGTGTGTGCTTGCTCTGCTTAGGGAAACTCAGTGGGCGTGAATGGGGACCCAAGGCTGCAGGGCCTGGGCCTGGGCCTGGGCAGTAGTTTTCACTAGTGAGATGCCAGCTGGAGCTGGAGCAGGGGCTGGGGCTGGGGCTGGGACTGGGACGGGATGCAGCTGGGATTGGGCTGGGACAGGGCTGGAATTGGACTGGGACGGGGCTGGGATGGGGCTGGGACGGGGCTGGGACGGGGCTGGAATTGGGCAGAGGCCAAGAGGCCCTCCCTGGCTTGCCCGGCCACTCACAGGGGTCTCGCTGCTGCTGTAGGCGATCACCTCCAGCACCGAGTTCTTCTCACACGTGTCGATGCAGGACAGGTCGTAGAGTGAGGAGTGCACAGGCCCGTAGGCCCACTCGGTGAACTTCCTGGACAGGTGCCTGCACTCGGGCTCCTGGATCTCCCTCTGGAGAATATAGGCCAAGACCTGCGCCCAGGGATCAGGAGCCCGTCAGAGGCCAGCCGGGGCCCAGCCCTAGACAGCACCCCAACAACCGCTCTGCTTCCCAGCCCAAGCGCCAGGTGAGTCCCCCCTCCCTTCCTGACCACCATTAAGATCAACCAGCAGGCTGGGCGCGGTGGCTCACGCCTGTAATCCCAGCACTTTGGGAGGCCGAGGCGGGTGGATCACGAGGTCAAGAGATCGAGACCATCCTGATCAACACGGTGAAACCCCGTCTCTACTAAAATTACAAAAAATTAGCTGGGCATGGTGGCACGTGCCTGTAATCCCAGCTACTCAGGAGGCTGAGGCAGGAGAATTGCCTGAACCCAGGAGGCGGAGGTTGCGGTGAGCCGAGATCGCGCCATTGCACTCCAGCCTGGGTGACATGAGTGAAACTCCGTCTCAAAAAAATAAATAAATAAATAAAAATAAAAATAAAAAATCAACCAGCCGCTGACTCAGATGCTACCTGCACTACAGCAGGCTTGGTGTCGCCCCACCACAAGCCTCAGCTCTACCATCTTACCATGAAGGACATGGTGGTTCATTCTCAAAAACCTCAAGCCAGAAAGAAATAAAGAGAATGCAAGAAATGAGAGCCAGACGGAGTGGCTTCTGCCTGTAATCCCAGCTACTTGGGAGGCTGAGGTGGGAGGATCAGTTGAGGCCAGAAGCTGGAGATCAGCGTTGTCACCTAAAGCAGTTCCTGCCTGTCGTGGAAAAACACCAACAGCTTTTTCTTTTTTCTTTTTCTTTTTTTTTTTTTTTTTTTTAAACAGAGTCTTGCTCTGTCACTCAGACTGGAGTGCAGCGGTGCAACCTCAGCTCACTGCAACCTCCGGCTCTTGGGTTCAAGCAAATCTCCTGCCTCAGCCTCCTGAGTAGCTGGTATTACAGGCATCCGCCACCACACCTGGCTAATTTTTGTATTTTTAGTAGAGACGGGGTTTCACTAGGTTGGTCAGGCTGGTCTCGAACTCCTGACCTCAGGTGATCCGCCCGCCTTGGCCTCCCGGAGTGCTGGGATTACACGCGTGAGTCACGGCGCCCACCACGACAGCTTTTGCTCTGTCCCACCCTGGGCTGTCCCACCTCCATCGCTCATCACCCCGCCCCACCGTGTCTTGTTGCTGATACTCAGAGCTGGAAATCCAAAATGGTCACATCAGCCATGCAGGGTTCTGCCAGAGGCTCCCAATTTCTCAGACGTATTCTAACAGCCCTGCAGGCTGGTGTGACAGAATCAGAGTCCCGCACACGCAGAGAGTGATGCCGGCCTCCGCATCAAGCCCACAGTCCCTCCCACGCCACCGTCCCCTCATCGCCGCAGCCTGGGCCGGACCCCTCCTACCCCGATCTTGCCGGTCCCAGCGGCCAGAGCCAGCGGTGTCATCCCCTTCTTGTTGGTGAGCTCCTCCAGCTTCAGCGTGGGGTGCAGCCGGGCCCCCAGGATGAGAAGCTCGTTGTACATGCTCGTCACAAACTTGGTGTTGTCGGCCGTGTTGTCAGCCACCTCCACCAGGGCGTGCAGCACCGTGTTGCCCACTGAGTCCCGGGCGCTGATGTCGGCTGGCTGCCAGGAGTTCTGCAGCAGGAACTTCACGATGCCCAGCTGGTTGGTGCAGGCGGCCAGGGACAGGGGAAGCTCACCTGCACGAACGCAGGCCCAGGTGGGCCTCAGGAGGGAGATCCAGCTGTCCCTGAGCCACCCGCCAGGACTCCCTCTGTCTCTGCCCAAACCTCCCCCTAGCAAAAGCCACAAAGGCAGGGTCGGCCACAGAGCTTCCCTACCAAAGTAGAATCCCGGCCGCCCTTCGGTTTTCTTGAAGAAGTCCCCGTTGGCTGCAGCCTGGACGTCTGCCCCGTTCTCCACCAGGAGGGTCACCAGTGCCATGTTCCGCCTCTCAATGGCAATGTGCAGTGCTGTCTGCCCTGCGGAGGACGCGCACGGTGGGCTTGTGATCGCAGTCCGCGGGGCTGCCTGGGCAGGGGCTGGGAAGGGCTCTGGGCGGGCAGCAGCTGCTGCCGGAGAATCTGGGAAGACAGTGCCTGGAGGACCCCCCACTGCAGGAGGCCAGGCCAGGATCCCCCAAGGGGCCCAGCGAGGCCCTGAGGCAGGAGACCCCTGGGAACACGAGATACCAGTTGGAAGCCAGAGGACTCAATGCCCCCCGGGCAAGGAACAGTCACAGAGAGAAAGGCCGGAGGCTCTGACTTCCAGGGACTGGGACCGTCCAGTCAGCGGGGGAGGCAGGGACTTCCCAGGGCCAAGGGAGGAGACATCAGATGGGGGAGGCAGGGACCCCCTAGGAGTCAGAGCCACCAACACTGTGGCTGGGACAGGGAGTAAGGAACGCAGGGGAGCCAGCAGGCCCAGGTCCAGCCGTGCCCTCCTGGCTCCCTGTGTGCCGGACGAGCTGTGCCCAGCCCGCTGCCTCCTCACCCCTGTAGTAGCTGTCGGTGTAGCTGGCGTTGACGAACTCCTTCAGGCTGTCCGTCTGCCTCGCGACCTCCAGGAGCAGGGGGATGGTGTCATTCTGCCCGCTGTGAAGGTTAAGCATGGCCTTCAGCAGACAGGTCTTCCCCGTCTCCGGGTCTGAAAGACAGACAGAGGGCGGGTCAGGCCGGCCGGGGCTGGGGCCCCCCCTGGAGCCCACGCCGGGGCCACCTTTGAACTCGCTGTCCGTGAGGTGCTTCCTGCTTGTCTGCAGGAACAGCAGCAGGCTCTCCAGCTCCTGGCAGTTGTTCTGAGCCACGGCTTCGAAGATACTCCTGCGATCATAGAGCCTGAGGATCTTCTCAGTGCCGGCGGTGACAGAGTCCTGGGACAGCTGCCTGCAGGCCACAAAACGCCCCTGTCTCATACCCTGGTCTCTGCTCGGCCCTCAGGCCTTCAGAGCTTGTCAAGGACACACAGGTAACCCCAAGGCAAACTAAAAGGGGGAAAAATGACATAAAAGCTACCCCTCTGCCTGGGCGCACTGGCTCACACCTGTAATCCCAGCGCTTTGGGAGGTTGAGGTGGGCGGATCACGAGGTCAGGAGTTCGAGACCAGCCTGGCCAACATGGTGAAACCTCGACTCTCCTAAAAATGCAAAAATTAGCCGGGCATGGCGGTGCAGGCCTGTAATCCCAGCTACTTGGGAGACTGAGGCAGGAGAATCACTTGAAACCGGGAGGCAGAGGTTGCAGTGAGCCAAGACCGTGCCATTGCACTCCAGCCTGAGCAACAGAGCATGACTCCGTCTCAAAAAATAAAAATAAAATAAAAAATAAAAGCTACCCCTCCGTCTCAGTGACTTCCAGAAAACCAATATACTGTAACAGGGACAGCGGGGCGCGTGTGTCCCCATTCTGCCCCTACCCTGTCTATAGACACCATCTAGAAAGTCATCCTGCTACTTCCAGACCACTGGCTTCTCCACCTGCTCGGGTGCTCAGGAGGCAGGAGCCTGGTGGGGACAGGGGGAGCTGGCGGCAGGGGTACAGACAGCCCCTGCTGAGGGAAAAGGTGGTCTCACGCTCCCCGGAAGTCAGCCAGCCTATGGCCTCCCTGCCGTGCCTTGGAGCTCACTGGAGCTGTTCTGTACTCTTTAAACAGCTTTTAGACTTCAAGTCCAAGTGTTTGTGGCTGGTAGGGATTGCAGCCGTGGACACCTAGACCCAGCACACCAGCCCCGTGACTGTGCATCCCATGAGGTCCCAGGAGGAAGGACGCTGGACCAGACCACCTCTAAGGCTCTCCAGCCCCCTGGCTTTGTGACATTTAGCCCAGAAGCCAGACCACCCTGTGGCATCTCTATGGCCAGTGGGGCTCCTGACAGGGAGGGGTCTCCAGACGCAGACTTACCTAGCACAGGTGGGGCCGTCCCCAGGCCTCTGGATGGTGATGACAGGGCTGACTGTGATGGTGGGGCAGGAGGCCAGCTCACCTTCCTCATGGGGGCAACCCGCCGGGAAAGCCTCCTCCGAATCGCCCTTCCCAAAGAGCCAGGCACGGCTCCTGGTCGTGGAGAGGTGGGGCTTGGTTGGAGGTGGCCCGGGGTGGGGGTCTCCATCCGGGGGATCTGGGCAGGCGTCCTGCTGGAGTGGGGCTGCAGCCGCCCCTGAGTCTGTGCTGCTCTGTTTCTTCATCCTTGCGGAATCCTCTGCGGCCCAGTGTACAGCCTGCAGGCAGCCAGCACGCCAGGGTTGGTCCCAGCTTGAGGACTACTTGTCCTTAGACCCCACCTGCCCTCCTTGCCGAGGGTCCTGTGAAGCAGGGTCCACCGAAACTCCAACTGGCTGCTGCCACCAGCCCCCTAGAACTGAAGTGTTGTCAGAACTGAACCTGTCACCCCAGAGGCCCCAGAGGTGAGCAGGCTAACAGTGCCCAGGCAAGTCCTGTGGCCACGGACATCGACCATGGAGTAGGGACAGGCCCCAGCTCGGAGCCGTCTGTGGTTCTGGGTTAGACCCATCCATCCTCCTCTCAG